AGATCTCTAAACAGAAATCTCACAAGCCCTATATCTAGATATTAATATTCGGATATTTTCAACCCCGTATCCGGATATCATATCCGGATATCAATATCTGGATATTTCGTGACAGAATGCAGTTTCTGCATTTCGCGAAGATATCACTTCAAGGTTGCATTTTTAACTCATTAATACTTCCAAGCATGCATTTTTATACCCCTTTAGGTTCAGTGATCATGTTAGTTACTTAAACAACCCATTAAACATGCCAAGACTCAAATTTTAACTAATAAAACTCATGATCAAAGTGATGAAACTTACCCAGAGCTCAAAATAGAAAAGGGAGATGCTCTTGGAGCTCTCAATACAGCCACAAGGTTCTGACCTCCAAAGGAAACGAAAATGACAAGCAAGCAAGGTCCTTTCTCACCAAAGATGGCTTCTTGAAGCTCAAAATACCACCACAATGGTTCCCTCAACTCTCACCATGAAGTCAGCCCCAAGACCTCACCAAGACAGTGGCTGAAATCAGAAATGGGACACTCCTCTCCTTCACAATGCTAACCCACACCCAACCAAGTGTTTAGATGAAGAAAATAAGAGGAAAGGTGAAGACTTGAGAAGTTTTCAAGTACAAATGACCAAGGGAGAAGGTGGCAGCAGCTAAGGTTCAGCAACACTCACGTAGAGGACAAAGATTCTGACCTAAGAATGTAAGAACTCGCACCGTTAATTAAGGAAGTTAATTAATTAATTGTATGACATTAGCAAATAATTCCATAAATGACCCTAATAATCAATTTGAGGCTTACATAATTATGGTAAGTGAGTAATAATGCTAAAAGTCGCTTTTCTGATGAAAAGTGCAGATACCGGTTCTGCTACTCGGTATAAATGCGTACCGATGAAATATCCCGAAAAATTATGAAAAGTAGAAGCTGATCCGTAGAAGCTGATGTTCGCCACGTATATGAAGAAGACATTGTTGTTTTTGTGTCCAAGTGCTTGGTTTGCCAGAAGGTGGAGATAGAACACCAGAAGCCGTCTGGTAAACTTCAACCTCTTGAGATTCCGAAATGGAAATGGGATAGCATTTCCATGGACTTCGTGGTGGGATTGCCGAAGACTCAGGCTGGTTGCGACTCTATCTGGGTCATTGTGGACAGATTGACCAAGTCTGCCCACTTTCTTCCGTGAAGGTGAGCTTCACTACTGAGTAGTTGGTCAGGCTATATGTTCGCGAGATTGTGAGACTTCATGGGGTGCCCGAGAGTATCATCAGTGATAGGGACCCGAAGTTCACATCTCGGTTCTGGGAGGCGCTGCAGGAGGCTTTTGGTACGTAGTTGAGACTGAGTACAACCTATCACCCTCAGACTGACGGACAGACTGAGCGGACCATCCAGACCTTGGAGGACATATTGAGGGCTTGCACTTTGGAGCAGGGTTCAGCATGGGATAGGTACCTGCCATTGGTTGAATTTTTGTACAACATCAGTTTCCATGCTAGCCTGGGCATGGCACTCTATGAGGCGTTGTATGGTAGGAGGTGTTGGACTCCTACCTACTGGTCTGAGGTTGGAGATAAGGAGTTGTTTGATTTGGACTTTGTCCAAGATACCACCAAGACAGTGGCTGGAATAAAAAATGGGACACTCCTCTCCTTCATAATGCTAACTCACACCCAACCAAGTGTTTAGATGAAGAAAATAAGAGGAAAGGTGAAGACTTGGGAAGTTTTCAAGCACATATGACCAAGGGAGAAGGTGGCAGCAGCTAAGGTTCAGCAACATTCACGTAGAGCACAAAAATTCCGACCTAGGAATGTAAGAACCTGCACCGTTAATTAAGGAAGTTAATTAATTAATTGTGTGAAATTAGGAAATAATTCCATAATTGACCCTAATAATTAATTTGAGGCTTAAATGATTATGGTAAGTGAGTAATAATGTTGAAAGTCGCTTTTCTGACGAAAAGCGCAGATACCGGTTCTGCTACTCGGTATAAATGCGTACCGATGAAGTATCCCGAAAAATTATGAAAAGTGTGTATATGACACTAGAGTAGTATACAGGACTTGTAAAACAAGTTTCAAGTTAAAATAATGAGAACTGGTGCCAGAACTGATACTGGCTATAGAAAAGCGTGTACCGAAAAGGTGTTGCGAAAAATAAAATAAAAATATGATAAATCTTAGAAAAATGAGTAGGTTCAGAATGCTAAGTTTGGTATTAAAATGCTAAGCGTAGCTATTAGTGCTAATACAGTGCGTTTAAAACTTAAGTGGCCTATATAAGGCCTTGGCACATGATCCTGGGGCAATCCCTTGTGCCTTATGCGTGAGTTTCTGACTTCTCCAGCAGCTGAGTGTCTCTCTTCTTGTCACCTTCACCTTCCCTCACTCCCTTGAGCCAAATGTGCCATTTTTACTCTTGGTTTCTCTACCAAAACACCATTGCCTTGTGTGAGTTGGCCTTGTGAGGTTGTGGGTGGCTTCTTTGCTGAGTTTGGATCTCTGTTTTGATGAGCTTTGGGGCTGAGTTCATAAACTTGGTTGAGAGAGCCTTTGTCTTGCCTTGTTGATGCTCCAAGAAGCAACCTCTGTGAAGAAAGGAGCCATCTTGAAGCTCATTTTCGTGCACTCGGTAGTCAGCCCTTTTGGCGCTGCATAGTGAGCTCCAAGAGCCTTCCTTGTTCTGTTTTGAGAGCCTTGGGTAAGTTCATCAACTTTGATCATGAGTTTTAATGCGTAAAAGTGGATTCTTTCCATGTTTAATGAGTTAAACAAGTAACCAACATGTATATGAACCTTTAGATGCTTAAAAATGGGTTCTTGGACATTCAGAAATGTTAAAAACACATCCTTTAATGGATATCTTCACAAAATGCAGAATCTGCATTCTGTCGCGAAATATCCGGATATTGATATCCGGATAGGATATCCAGATATTGATATCTGGATATGATATCCGGATATTGGAATCCGGATATGGGGTCTCGTGATATCCGAATATGGATATCCGGATATGCATATCCGAATATGATATCCGGATATTGAATATCCGGATATGTCCCCGACATATATCCGGATATTTTGGGTTTGCGTGAACAGTAACGGTACTGTTCATACAGAACTGAGTTATGGGTTTGTGGACCCTAGATTGTGGAAGTTGAACTTCTGTAATGGTTAAGTTAAATCAGAATCAAGGGATTAAGGGCTTGTGGCTTTGTGAGAAGCCTTAAGACTTGAAACAGAAAAGAAAAGCGTTGTCTTTATACCGTATGCTTGTTGAGTATGAATATTGATATTATTGTTGGTCCAAACAGATTGTGATTGTGTTGTGTGTGGACTTTGAGCTAGTGTGGACTTTTGGCATTGGATAGTTAGCTTGCAAGGTAAGCTTTTGTGTCCTCGGTTTAGCCATTGTTTGTTCCACCATGTCCCATGGGGGGATGGTTATATGCATGATGTGTTTTCATGTATTATTTTACTGAAATGCTATTGAACTGTTAAGTGCAAATGCTATATGATATGTATGTGGTGTTCCGCCTAGACAGGAAGCCATGGGGTGGTCCTGTGGGCGGGTACAGCATGGGCGTGTACTTATGTGGGTAATAGACGTATTCCTGCATTTCTCTGATCAGTAGAATAGCTATAACACACATGACATGAATATCTGCTGCATTGCACTGATTTTAGAACTGATATTGAATTACTGCTTTTGGAACTTATATTGCACATGTAAGTGAGCTTGGGGTGGGAGATCCTTGAGGACCCCTTGTTTATTGAGATTTCTTTTTAGAGATCTCACCCCACGTTTTGGGCACATATTTCAGGTTCAAGTAATGCGGGGGTTGAGACCTCTAGCGGCAGGAGGCCGGAGCTTAGCTGATTGCATGCTATTATGATGATTTTTCTGGATGTTGACATTGTTTTATCTTTACTGTCATGTTATTTGATTTGAGACTGTTGTTGGGCGTTGTTGCCTTATTTGGTGAGCATGGGGGTTGTCCATGCCACATTGACTTGTCTTTATGTTTTTAGTTGTTTCAAGTTGTATAATTGTATCAAGATTATGTCCGGACTACGTGTTGTAGATCCGTGACTTAGATACTCACTTATTTATTTATGAGGTATTTCTGTTAGCTGTCTATTTGAAATTTACATACAAGCAATGTTTTGAAAATGAATTAGGTAATTCAACTTGGTAATGATAATGACGTCATAATTGAACAGAAAAAGATATTCCTCATATTTTAATTAAGCGTGGCATAATACGATGACATGTTAACAAACCGGATTAACACAGAGTGTTACAAGGATCATGTGCCAAGGCCTTATATAGGCCACTTAAGTTTAATCGCACTGTATTAGAGCTAATAGCTACGCTTAGCATTTTAATCTCATACTTAGGATTTTGAACCTAGCCATTTTTCTAGGATTTATCATATTTTTATTTTATTTTTTGCAACAATTTTTCGGTATGCGCTTTTATGTATTCAGTATCAGTTCTGACATCATTTCTCATCATCTTAACTTGAAACTTGTTATGCTAGTCCTATATATTATTCTAGTGACATATACATACTTTTCATAATATTTCGGGATACTTCATCGGTACGCATTTATACCGTGAGGCAGAACTGGTATCTGGACTTTTCGTCAGAAAAGTGACTTTCAACATTACTAATCACTTACCATAATTATTTAATTAATTTCTTAATTTAACGGTGCGGGTTCTTACATTGATATTCTTTAAACTTCGTTTTGGTTGAAGTTCTTTGGAAAAGGATATTATTTTTTATTATTTCTTGTAAAAGAAGTTACACACAATTCACTCTCCTCTTGTGTGATTGTCCAACCATTTTTTCTTTCTAGATTCATGAGTAGACCTAACAAAGACCATTGGAATGCTTAAATTCACTATTTAGGTACCCAAATGGTCCCACTGGCCTCTGTTTAACCTATAATGGTGAAAATTCTGACAATTTGTTTGTGGAGGGGTATTGCGATGTAGACTATGTTGTTGACCTAGACAAGAGAAGGTCTATGATAGGGATGGTATTCATTGTTAGAGGAGATGTGGTAAGCTAGAAGGCTAACCTCCAGCATTAGTTGCTTTATCCATTACAAAAGCAGAGTATATGGCACTAACTAAAGTTATAAAGGATGCTCTGTGGCTAAATGGTATTATTACAATGCTTGGATTAGGAAAAGGTAAACCACGGGTATTGTGTGATTCCCAAAGTGCATTACACTTGTCCAAAAATAGTGCATATCATGAAAGGACAAAGCATATAGATGTAAGAATACACTTCATAAGAGATGTAATTGCCAATGGTCAAATAATTGTGGATATAATACATACAACTCATAACTCAACTAATTTTTAACTAAGCTTGTTTTGTGCTTTACACTAACTTCAAAAAAATCCTAATCATGCATTGCATTGAGGTCTGGGGTTAAATCTTCATTGCCCCCGTTCTTGCTATCTAAATTTCTCAAATAAGGAGGAGTATGTTATGGTTGTTGGGTTTGTACATTGGGTATTTGAAAAATTGGACCTATTGGGCTGTCCATGTTTCTTTGGCCCATTTGATTTGCTCATGATTTAAGTGTTGTTTTTATTTTTATTCCCATTAATACCTTTGCTTGTATGTATATAGTATGTGTAGAAAAGTAATTTCACATGTGTTTTATACTTATCCAGTTAGTTGTGTTCTCGAAGCTTCTCAAAAAGATTCTTTTATTCTTTCATTTTGTCTCTTCTGTTCTATGAGTAGTGCGGCTAGGGTTTTCAATCTTAGGGTTTCTTCTCAAGATTCTTTGAGTGTAGTTTTGAGAGAGTGAGTTTATAGCCTATAGTGTGGTTTTGCCCTGGTTTTCTAACATTTGTGTTTCAGATAAGGCTCGATGCAGATTTGGTGGAGTGGCTCGTAACTGAATGTGGAAAGTTGGTGACGTTGGTTCAAGATCCATTGGAATCACTAGAAGATTGTGGATCTTTGGTTGTTAGTTCTCCGCTTGGATTGTATCGGTTAGTTTTTCCATTCTTGATGCATGTTGTTCATGTTTGTATCTAACTATGGATGTATAATGTTTGATGTGTATGTTTTAGGTTCTTTTACTCTTATTGTACAATAATTTTGTTTCTAGGCTTGTACTTTCTGATTACATCTATTTTAATTGGTATTAATAAAATCTAAAAGAACGGGAGAGTTTCTCCCCTTTAAGTCTTGGGTGTTGGAACCTTGACAGCAATAACAAGTTCCGAATCAAGTAAAATGGTACTATGTGTTTGCCTTTATGTTCGTGTATCTTTTATGCTTCCACGCGCATTTTGATTTTTGGCTAAGGTCTTAGGCCTCAAATTTTTAATAAAAATGTTAAGAAATTTTTTGGGAGAAAGCTTTCAAAAAAATAAAAAGATTTCTCATGCTAAGAAAAAAATAATAATAATGATCTAACAAACTTACATACTTTTGATAATTTATGACTCAAATATATAAGTACTTTAATTGCATTTATTTTAGTCCATATTTATTGCTTGTTTTGCAGCATCAATAATAAACAAAACATCCGTGAAAAATATGTAATATAGAATGGTGTCCGATGATTTCAAATAAATATTGATTTCTTGCCCAAAAAAAAAAGCATATAACTATTTCAAAGTTAATGGAGTCATAAATTGGTTCTTCCATCAATTAAGATCAAATTTCTTTTTTAGAATATTAAGATTAATCTGTTAATTTGATTTCATAGGAAATCTGATTGGATTTAATTTTTTTCATCATAATATTTTTGCCAAAAATTAATATAGCAACAACCCAAAGGATTGTTTTTTAATTCCAACTATATATTTGACTCTTTTTTCTGTTATAGTTGAAGATCCATGTTTATATAAAATAAAATAACATAAATAAATCTTAATTGAATCTGAAATCTTGTTGTTTGAGGTGAGCCCCTAATGGCTTGTTTGGAAGTTAGTTTTAGGAGAAAAAGAAAAGGAAGGGTTTTATTGATCCATTCCCTTATTTGTGAGTTTAAAAAAGTGAGGAGAAGGATTTAGGGATTTTCACAAAACTCTATTTTTTTTAAATTAAAGTTCCATTAATTCGAGGGATTTAACTCCCAAACAAAGGAATAGAATACCCATCATATCCCTTCTCTTTCTTTTCCTCCATTTCTCTTGAATTCATTTACTTTCCTTCCCCTCTAAACTCCCAAACAAAACCTTTTCAATTGAGATTTTTTTTTTTTATCTATAAAATTCAATTGAGATTTATTGATCCTGAATAAATCTTAAGATAGAATATTATGCCTATCTTTTATTTATGTCTATTCTATGCGCTCCTCTCCAACATAGTTACATCATATTCTCAACAAATTTTCACTCTTTCTCTCTCATTATGAGATTCTGACATAATGGTGTTCAGATGAATAAGTAAAATAGGCATAAAAAAAGAAAATAAGCACAATAGCTTATCCCTTAATTCTTAATTTTCTATCCACATTTATTTTTAACTTTTATAAACTCCCAAAACCCTTGTTTTTTTTTCCCTTGAATTTTATAGATAATTTACACTTCATCCATAGTTATAATGATATACATATTGATTGAGATGACTTTTTTGTAGGAACAAATGGATTCAAATGAATTTTCTAAGAGGCAACATGGATGTGAAGACATAATTAGCAACATGCCTGATTTTATTATTGGTCACATACTATCTTTTCTCCCAACTAAAGAAGCAGTTCAAACAAGTGTGTTATCCAAGAGATGGATATACATGTGGACATTCATCACTGAACTACGCTTTGATGATAAAGAAACTTCCTACTCTTCCAAAAAGAAATCATATAGACAAGACTTTATAGACTTGGTGTATAAAGTACTTCTTCATCTTAATGTTTCAAGCCTCCAAGGTTTCTCTCTCGTTATTCATAAAAAGTATGACTCTTCCACCGTTAATGCATGGATCTGTGCTGTATTAAGCCAGGGAGTCAAAAAGCTTTGTGTTGATTCACATCAAAATCTCTCCCTCTCCTTTCATTCTCTTCCAAAATGCAAGCCCTTGGAAGAATTGACGTTGACCATGTATCACTGTGTTATTAAAGTTCCCTCATTTGTATGCCTTCCATACCTAAAATTCCTAAAGTTGTCTGATATTGCATTTGCGAGTGACTTTACTAGTAATACACAAGAGTGGAACCTTAACTTCCCAGTGCTTGTGAAGTTTGAGACACAAAATTGTACTTGGTCAAGTATCACCTTAACCGCGCCTCAACTTGAAAGCATTTCAATATTACGTTCTACCTTTAAGTCACTTAACTCTGTAACTAAGTTTGGTGTTTCGCGTCTTAAGGAATTCATTTATCGTGGCTTTATATTGCAAGACACCATTCTGTTAGATCCATCATCAACTCATAATACTGCTGCTGTTGAAATCACTGTATACCCACAGTTGGAGAGATTGCAAGAATCAAGCTTTCGCTCTTGTTTGCTTGTCAAACAATTCAACCAAATGAAATCTCTCAAAATTCAGGGTACTAAGGTATGTATTCTTGCCCTTTGTTAGCCATGAATATGAAGATTGAAGTCAAACCTTGAAATCTTTATAATAATGAGATGAAAATCATTTTGTTTTATCACCAAGCATGTTGATCAATTGGTAAAGGATTATTCTAGCTTAATCAATGGTATCAAGTGCGAGTCCTAGTAGTTTCACTGTCCGACTCGAATTGGATTAGTTGCGCCAATGTTGAAATTAAAACATTGATGTATTCTAGATTATATCAATTGTCATATTACAACAAAGTTTCTTTCATTGTTTTTCAGGTTCTCGCAGGAGCAAATTTAGCTGATCTACCTGCATTTGGAATGTTGACTCATCTGGAGCTAGGTACTAATAATGGTCAAACTATTTTAGGCCTACTCCTCAAGGCACCTTTTCTCAAGACTTTAGCTTTAGAGGTTAGTAAAGTATTAGTTTGTAATTATGGTGAAGCCCCTCAATAGTCAAAAAAAACTCTCCAGATCATGCAAATTCTACTTTTTTGTGATTACTGATCTATTTTATTTAGAGCTTTATGGATCATGTTAACTAAATTAACTAATACTGTTAATTATTGGTGACTGATCATCAGGGTATATCTGTATTTGACAAAGAGATTTTGAATTCAACAATTGTGCCGGATTGTTTGCTATCTACCCTCAAAGTGATGAAATTTGGAAACTTCTATGGTTTCGAGCATGAACTTCGTTTTGCTAAGTTTATAATGGAAAATGCTAAAGTCATTGAAACAATAAAGTTTCACGTTGTTGCTCGAAAGAGGCATACGAGGAGGCTCTATTCAAGGAGCGCAATGCGAGCAGTTATGGAGAAGCTATCCTCATTTAATAGAGGTTCCAGGTTTGCTATTATGGAATTTACATTTGCTTATTAGGTTACATCATGTGTTGATTTATGCTTACTATGTCTCATTTCAAGACAATAGAACAATGAATTTAAAAATCTAGTTCTTTAAGAACTAGTTATAGTCTTTCTTGTTTGTTACTTCTGTATAACTTACTCAGGTATTGGATTATTGCCAATACGTATCCATATTCATAACTTTTAGCTTTTCAAGTACTTTGATGCTGAACTAAAAGGCAGAGGAGTACAAGCTGAGATGTAGATTGGAATATTTTGATTACAGATATTTCTTAAATAAGTGGCATTCAGTTTTATCATCGTTAATTATTGTTCAATGATAGATTGTCGTTAGCTCTTGTGTGATGTTGCACTTCCCCGCGTCTTTCTTTGTATTTGTAACTGTTCACCTGTTTGTGTGTGTATTCGAAACCATATCCTTCTGCTCGTGCATCCTATTTCGTGCCGTTTGGAAGCCTTGTTTCTGCTTCATACACGATTCATTCTCTTTCCTCCTTCATTGTTGATTATTCTGGGTTCATCACTATTGAAAATTGTTGTTTTGAGTTTTTCATATTACTTACACATGATCTCTTGATGGAATTTCTGTGCACAACAACTGTTTGATGGAGTATCGATTAAAATTTTCAGAATGTCTTATAATATATAAGTATTTACAGCCATACAGCAATTTTATTATTATTTCTAGTGATTAGAATTTTCAAAATGACTTATTTCAAAACGACTTAAGGGTTTGTTTGAATGAGCTTTTTTCTCTCCAAAAGCTACTTTTTTCAAGAAAAAAAAACACTTCTCACTTTAAGTTTATTTGGACGTCTGCTCTTAAAAAAATCAAAAGTCACAAAAAAGTCAAAAATTTACTTTTTTAGAAGATAAAGTTTTAACTTTAAAAAAAAAAACAGAAATCAAAAGTCAAATATTTTTTTCAAAAACTAAATATTTTAATAAAAATATAAATAGTTTAACTTTTATAAAAAGCACTTTTAAAATAAGAAAGAGATAACAAATGGGCACTTATTATTATTTCATAATATATAATTCATGTACTTATTAATTTTACAACTCTTTTATATCATACATTTTTGTCAACCGAATTCGCCTTATTTTATGTGGGTCACGATCCAACGTGACGGATTGACTGAGTTTTTCCACGCCTACATACCTCAACTCATAACTAGGAACTGAAAATGCGGAATAATTTCCCCTTGAATATTGGCAGTTGGCCACCAATGGTTGTGCTGTGGATAGCACATATCTAAGTTATTTGGGGCTATTTTTATGTGTCGTAGATTTTTTTTTTTCTTAAAATTGTTTTGTAAAGTAACTTATAAAACCTATTTTGTAGAATAAAAAATGAAAAAAAAAAATCCATTTGATTACATTGTTTTGAAAATAGTTTTAAAAGGTAAAAATAAAAAATAAAAAATTTGTTTGATAAATTTGTTCTGAAAATATGTTTTGAAAGAAAAAAAAATAAAAAATTGTTTGATTGTAAATTTTCAACTTCACTTGCAGGAGATCTTTAGGCAGTGTTTGGTATGAGAGATAATTTTTTTTACCGAGAAAAAAAGGATTGTTGGGAATTTGGTAGGAAATTTTTTATTTCGGGTAAGTTATGAAAAAGTGTTTGGTTGACCAAAATTTTACCGGAAAAGTTGAGTTATTTTACTGATGCGGTTGATGGTAAAATATTGATAGGAATGTGAATTGAAATTACCAAAATATCAAAAACCATGGACAATCTCTTTACACATGATTCATATATTACAAGGATATTTTTAATTCAATATATTACATTCAAAATCCAAGACCATAGCAAAAAAAAATACCAAAGATTAAGTGAGAGAATATTTTGCCTTTGTGTAGTTGAAAAGGAAAATATTGGGGAAAAAATTTTGTTGGCATTTTGTTCACAATACTCGTACCAAACATGGTAAATAAATATTTTCCACCCCACTTTTTCATCGTTCCATACCAAATTCCCCCTTAGAAATTCATTAAATTAACCAACCCCCCACTGCACTATCAAATATATGTCAGGCTCAGGCCGAATCAGTATTTAAATAGCTCATTTAATTAAGATTTTAGTTAACAATAGTATAATTCATTTGTGTTTAATCTGTTGTAGATTAGTTTAGAGCCTTTTCCTACCTTTAAAATTAAAGCCTCCATATTTTGGAGATGATAGCTTGGCAAAAGAGTAACCGAAGAACATATGAAATTGCTCTGACCAAATGAGTTATAGTTCATGTCATCTTTCTTTTGCTCGTTCAATATAATAATCCATTATTAAAAATTAGAAATCACACAAATTACATGTGATTCTTCTATATGCTGTTATAGCCTTACATACAAGTAGTCTTTTTAAGTAATTCTTTAACTTGTGAAATTGCCCTAAACTGACCAAACTGTGAAGCATATGTGCTCACTTAACTCCTACCAAAAAGTAGTGCCGTCACAAAAGTTCTAATACCATATATCAATTTAATTTAGAAATTTAAATTATTGAGATAAGATTCTTAATAATTTTATTTTATATTTCTTTTAACGCATACCTCTCCATAATTGTCAGATTACTAATTCCCATTTAAGTAAGGGAATTTTAATGGTCACTTTGCATGCACAAGAAGGAAGAGGAGGACCTGTCTTGAAGGGGTAAAAGGGGGGTTCGCATGGGAACTTCTTGCTGACTCCAATGCTAGGGAAGTTTGAAGAGTTATCTCAGCATGGAGTTCTATACATGTCTTAAGACATCTTTAGAGGTTGTTTGGTATGAATCTTTGTCCTAAGGAAAAAAAGTGTGTATTATTTTAAAAAATATAAAATTATGTCGTTTTGAGTGAGAGAAAAAGATAAATCATGGAAGGAGAGAGTGGACAAAAAAGAGTGAGAGTCTCACCTCTTTTTGAGAGTAAAATAACACAAGTTGTGTCATTTAAAAGAATAAATACTTTTTCTGTGTTCTAAATACCTAGACAAATTAGATAGGGAATTGAAGCTGACAACATTTGGTAGAAGACTCAAAAAAAATATGTTAGAAAAATTGATTACCGAGACAACGTAATTTGTGTGAAAAATTGCAACCAAGACATTGTGGTAGATGACCACATCGTAGGTGGTAAAAATCAAAGACATCAATCATAAAACTAACCGAAAGGAGTGAAATTTCCATACGTCACCAAAAAAGTGATGTTGAAATACCAAAACAGGATCAGATCTAGAACTGTCTCAAAGAAGGGAGAAAAACTCAACTGATCGCCGGCCAAAAAAGAGTGGCCACATGCAGGCAAACGAAAGATAACACATGAAACTTTGACATGCGTGTGAGGGAGCGTGAGAGACTTTCGGGGGACGAGACCTGGACAGGGAAAGAAAAAATTTATTTTAAAAACTTAATTAATTTTTTTGATGATATTTCATTCTATCAAATAACTTTTTTTTAACTTTACCAATAAATTTACTTTTTCACCATTTTTTTATTAATTGTGTTTACCTGATTAAAAAAAATTCTACCAAACACTTTCTAGTAAAACAAAAATGTTTATTGGAAAACAGGAAAAAAAACAGAATAGTTAAACCAAACAAAAGAAGGGGTAAAGGGGGGGTTTCGAGTAAAAATTCATATAAATAATAACAAGCCATTTGGGTTTATATTTTAACAAATCATGTATTATCATGAATCATGAGAGTGAATATGCAAGTACACAACGAGACCAAGGTTATTCATTCTCATTCAATACTGCAACAACCGACTTTATGTTCGTAATCACATCCAAGACAAAAAACGAAGAAGACAAATCGTGCATCAAAAGGCTATTAGGGGGCGTTTGGTACGGGATAAATTTTTTTTTATCCAGGAAATAAGTATTACTGAAATATAGTGGGAAGGATATTTTGTCTGGTAAATTACGAAAAGGTGTTTGGTTGGGACAAATTTTGCCAGGAAAATGTAGTTAATTTTATAAATGCTATGTTTGGTTAATTGTTAAATATTGATGAGAATGTTAAAGAAAATGTCAAAATTACCCTTTACCTTTGTTAGTTTGAAATCATAATATCTGAGACAACACATTTTGACCGTTTCAGATTTGGTAGTCACTGTTGTCCTACTCGGTCCACATTTTCTTCGTTCTTTGCAAACATTTGCTGTGGTCTGCCTTCTTCTTTGTTGAACTGGGCTCGCCGGAGATCTATCACACTTTGCCAAACGCGCAGGCCACTCGTGTCCCTTGGTCGTCCACACTGTGAGGTATACGCAGTGCATGGTGGTTGCTGACGAACGGCAACTACAGTAAACCCTTTCTTTTTACTGTTTTGCAGCAAACATTGTGAACTACTCCGCAATCCCATATATCCGTAAAGATCCATACTTTACAAGTTGGTATTTATCGTGTTTTAATATATTCCATAGGTGATTATAATCCTTGAACGTTTTCGGTTCACGTTACGGTATGAAAAGGTAGACTGGGTATGTAAATTTTTTTTATGAGTAGTGATACCCGTATGTAGTTGTGCATTATAACTACATACGGGGTACGATTGAGTCTTAACTTGTTTGCATTTCTATGTCAGTCCACCTTTTCTCCCTTGCTTTCCCCTAAATTTTGCGTGAAATTGTGAGATTGTGGTTTATTTTTGTACTGTTTAAGCCTTATTTGGTTATGAAGCATTGTTGTGCTGCAATTTGTTTGTCTACTTGCAATTATGTACCAAAATTTGAATGTACATTACAGTGAGTCTGAATGTATATTTGACCGTGTGTTGTGAGATTTTGTAGTAACAATAAGCCAATCTACCTTGGTTATAGTGTTGTGGTTCACTTTGTGTCACATGCAGAAATCGTTTGAAAGTCTGAATGGGTGGAGATGGCTGTCATAGTGTATTTTCTGGGCAATCCTCATGTGTATCCTCATCGAACTTGAAGATGTGCAATTATGGACTGACGACTGTGGTTCGCAAGAGCTGGACAGCAAGGAACCCAGGAAGGCAGTTCTTCGGATGTCCTAATTTCAACACACGTCGAGGGACCTGTAATTTTTTTGAGTGGGTCGATCAACCGACATGTCGTAACTGCAAACAGAAGGACTATTTGTTGAAATTTTCTATGCTTTTGCATATGGTTTCTGTAATGGTGATTGGTATTGTAGTGTATGCCAACAAAAATGCTTGTTGAGTTGTAAATATAAGCTATGCTATGTTTTTTGCTTAATGCACCAAGTTGTACTTATGTAGAAGCCATGTACTTAGTGAGGACGGTTGCATGGATTTTGTGTTTGTTTATGATGTATTATGTATGTCTTTGCGATGTAACATACTTGGTATTGTTATTAATGGAAGGATCGAAGACTGGAGGTTGTCATTCGTTTGGGGTGTTTTAGTTTTATGCGTATGGCATCAAAAACTGTAGGTGGCTTTGGTTATTCTTCGAGGGTTCTGAATGATGAGGCTCCTTACTTCGTCAAGTTATGGTCTTGTTTGTTTAGTAGTGACCAGAAAAAGGAACATGCTCTTTTTGGGAAATTTGAAAAAAAATACAATTCAGTGAGCCCTGTGCTCTCTGAAAACCTTGTGAATTTGCTTGAGGTTTTTCTGGAATCCTTGATATGTTTGTCTTTTATTAAGGTGTCTGAATTTGGAGTCTTCCATTTGGGGCTGACTAAATGGTTTCCTGTTTATTGTGTTTGCTAAAATTAAAATATTGTAGATATTTTTATAGTGTAGGGAATTTTGTGATTAGGAGCCTTTTTGAATGAGTACATATTGATAATTAACTGTGTTGAGTTTGATTTTTAAGCGTGTTCAGATATCCTTCATGGAATCACCTGTCAATGGAGTTGAGTCCTTACCTGAGGTTCAGAATGAACTTCAACCAGCAAGCAACAAAATTGTGCTTACCTGGAGCATGGAGTATTGCCAACAAAATTGTGCAGCAAGCAACCATTTCATGATTCGAAGGATTACTTTTTGTCCAAGTCCTCAGAATAGTTTCTATTCAGCCACTGTCTAGTCAGAAGCCAAAGAAAGTTTCAATAATACTGAAGTCAATATAAGTGTGCTACTGTTGATAAGTCATGTGAAAGTGGAGAAGTTAGAAATTCCTGTGATTTTAATGAGTGGGGGAAGACCACCATCTGTAACAGATTGTACCGGAAGTGATGTTAGTGATGAGAGCAACACCAGTAGTTTGAGCATAGCTATGTATAAACCCCATAAGGCAAATGATATCAGATGGGAAGCAATTGAAGCGATCCGAGCTCCTGATGGAATGTTGGAAATGAGGCATTTCAGGTTGTTGAAGAAATTGGGATGTGGAGATGGTACCATCTCTGTCTTTCTGGTGTAACCAACTTTCTGATATTTGGGTTGGGAAGAGATATTCAGCTTTGGCAAATCAGCTGGAATTCCAAGACTGGAGCAATTTGATTCAGTGAGGAATAAATAGGTCCTTATTGTGCAACAGGCTATTTTTAATTTTGTGGTTTTTTATGCTGTAATCAGTCACCACTTTTTTTTCGAACAACAAATATATGGCATTGGTGATTTTGCTGAGTTTTAGGCTTACATCACGTACTGATGTTGTGCACTTCTGTAAAAGATTTTTATGCTCCTACTTTTGGGATGTAACTTGTTATGATATTGCCCTCATATAGTTTCCTAAATTGTAATTATCATCAGTTGTTATACAATAATTCAATCTGTGTATGATCTCGTTAGCACCAGTAGTTGGTTATAATGGAAAACTGAAAGTTAGTGTGCCAGCAGGTGAATATAGATGATCCTCTTCTTTTGGACCCCATTGAACAAAAGGTTCAGCATTACTTATCCCATATCCACTTGTCCATGTTACAGTCATCTGTTTTGAGTTGAAAATGGTACTGTTTTGATTTGACAAAATGAAAGAATAATTTAAAGAACAAATGTAAATGGAACACAAATAAAATAAAAAATTATGTCAAAAATATAATAGAGACAATGCTGAATGCTTTCTTTCTTCGTGACAGTGTGTGACAGTGTGTGTGTATTTGGTTTAGGGTTTTATGCCTCTGCATTTAAATCTGGTTCACCTCATGGACCGATACCAAAACCAAGAAACATCAGTGTTAATTATAACTCACCAAATAGATATGACATAGAATAGAAAGCAATTGAAATCATCACACTCAACAGAATAAAATATATCACATAAATAACATTGTTCTTACTTCATATATATAACCTGACAACCTGATTTACAGAAGCTTTAGTTGCTATACATGAAATGGGACAAAATAACCCAATTCCAGAAACCATGTACCCTGCCTAAATGCCTCAGTGAAATAAGTACTGTAGGACATATACATCTGTACAAAACAATGTATACAATATAAAACCAAATCATCATGTCCTCAGCAATCTTTCACATGATGAACCTTTGCTTATCCTTCACAAACTTGAATCTTGCAGCACCTCCCTAGGTACGTAAGCTTGAGCTGCCAGCATAGTTAACACCCTTTCTGCTTTACACAAATCACAAACCATGAAATTGTTATCAACATTTATAAATGACTGTCAAATAGACATCACACATGCCCCACCAGTTAATAAAAAATCTCATACCTGCTAAACCATATATAAACACCATTGAATCATACAGCTGTTTCGTTAACATTGCAAGGTTAATCTCAAAAAACCCATTTCATGAAAGCATCTGTCTTCTAAACATCAGTCTTCAAAATGGTTATACTGTAGCTGACTTATAAAACATATGACAGCAGCCTAGATGTCTCATGACACAGACATAGATACTATATGACATCAAAACTAGTGAACACTACCCATATAACCAGGGGTTATCAAAAAAGTGAAGTACTGACAGTCTCACCCCTTACTCAATAAGGATGCCACCACAAACTGTTTTTCTTCATCACCTCCTTCCAAAAAAATTTCCAATATAGTGGGATCCTTATGCATTATCATGGCAAGGTTAACCCTCTGTTCAACTGTCAAGATTTCAAATTTCTTCAATTCTTGGACAACAGAAGTTTTTTTGCTTGAACCCTCACCTTGGTGTTCAAAGCATGTAATCAACCTATCAATTTTGTCATTTGTTGTTTTATAATCATTACCAAGATCCTTTATTGCAACAGATACCTCACTAGCCAAAGCTTCCTCATTCCTTCCTCTCTTCTTACCCTTTTTTGCAACAGAAATTGACACAGGAGAAGTTTGTGTGGGTTCTTCAGTTGCAGTGTCAGGGAGTGGAGGTTCCCAATTCGGTGAGATTGTGTTGTCTTCAAATAGATCATAAATTACTTCCACGGCAGTCCCACTTTCAGCCATACCAATTGCTTCATTGTCCATATTGTGGACTGCATCCTCTGGATCCTCGGCATGCTCTCCATTTGCCATGTCCTCTCCAAAAATCGGTCCCAATGCGTTGTAGTATGGAAATGGTTTTTTGTAGAGACCCTTGGCATTAGGGTGAGTCTGCAAGGATAATACAATTCAGTGTAACATGAAAAATTAGAACAGTAAATTATAACAAAGAAAATGCAATACAATATGATAATTTTTGTGTTCACAATAATGAGTTGTACCTTAATCCAGTCCATGTAAATTTGCTTCTCCACGTCAATCATTTTGTCCCTATCATTCCACCCGAAACCACTTCCCCCATTCGGCCCCATCATCTCGGCAATGGCATTGTAGTGCTTCTTTAGGAGCTTGATTCTAGACGTAATGTGTGGAGTGCCCTTAAGTGTACATCCAGGAATTTTAGCATGCATCAACTTCTCTAAGTGATTAGGAAATCCGGGCCTGAAACCATTCTCACCCTTCCATGCTAAACCAGAATCAACAAGACAATCAACAAGCACCCTGTCCTCTTCTGATGTCCAGGTGTGATTAATCCGCTTGCTGGATTGGGAATCCTTTTCAGCCATCTGCATAAGGGGTTAAGAAAAAAATTGTTGTTTGTATACTATAATCAATAGACAATCAGTTAAAAACAGATTACATTAATGAACAGTAGCAAACTGACATATATAGTATCTATTACATAGCCTCACATAGAAAAAGAAAGAGTTCGGTACAATCACACAAATGTGTTGAAATGAAACTAAGTCGATGTAACCAAAACACAACAACATTAAAAATCACACAAAGTCCTAAACCAAATCAAACACCATTCTTCCATGTATCAAACATCTGTTGGGCCAAATCATCCCTCCACCTTGTCCAAGCATTTGATGACTCAACATGAGTTATCATGTCCTGTCCTTCAAAGTTGTCTGCAGCTTCAGCCATGTCCACAGTATTATCCTCTAAAGGGTCAATAGGCATCTCATTTCTAATATGATTATGAAGCAGGCAGCAAGCAGTGATTATACGGCACTGCGTTTTCACCGGATAAAAGACTTTGACCTGACAATGGCCCAACGACCCTTCAACAACCCAAAGCATCTTTCAATCACATTCCTAGCCTGGGAGTGTTTCATGTTAAAAAATTCTTGCGGTGTCGTTGGCTGTGCCCCATGTCTCCACTCACTCAGATGGTATCTTTGCCCTCTATAAGGTGTTAGGAATCCTTCCCCATTCATATAACCGGCATCGGCCAAATAATAGAAACCTACGACAACAGAAGAAAAGGTGTGAGGAACACTGTGGGATTGTAGTATAAATGATGTCTCTCTGCCAAGAATGTGTGTGATGGTCCGTAGTTACCTTTCGGGACCCTTAACCCATTTCCACGAGAGATAGCGTCTCTGAGCACCTTTGAATCCGCAGCTGATCCCTCCCATCCAGGCAACACATAAATAAATTGGCAATCCTGCGAGCAGACGCCCAACACGTTTGTCGCAATTTCACCCTTCCTAGTGCGGTATCTTGCCTTATCAGCTTGTAAGGGATTAACCTTGATGTGTGTCCCGTCCAGAGCTCCAAGGCAATTCTATCAACCCCAAAAAACAAACAAATAAAACAAGTCAATATAAAAGAGAGAATGACCTTTGTAAATTACGCGGAAAACATGGAGTAAAATTTACAAGTACCTTGAACCACTTCCATCTATCATCAGTTGGGTTTTGTAGGATGGGATCAGGCCGTTTAAGGAGTACGGTGTGACACCTTAAAACAGACTGCAACACCTTGTTGAATTGTCTACTTATTGTCTCACCTGATCTCATAAACTGTCTTTTAATAACTCGATTCTTCACATCATGAGCCAAAATGTGAAGGAAGACTGCAACCTGCTCTTCTACCCCCATGTGCCTCGTCGGTTGAAGCATCCCAATAGTTTTCAACAAATGACACAAAGTATGAAAGCTTCTCCTATCCATCCTTGTATTCTCAATACAAGCGGTGTCAGTAATATATACTATTCTATGCAGATTCATTTCCCTCGTAGGCACCCTACTGCAAAAATCCCACTTCAATCTCCTCATTTTCCTTTTCCTTCTTTCAATATGAGCTAATATTACACCATAAATTCTCACTAATAACATAGTTCGGTGATTCAAATTTTGCAAATGACAAATGATAATAATAACGATACTCAACGCCATTGCTGTGTTCATCTCCTCAATCTAACACAACACAGCCAAGAGTAATTAACATTAATCCAACGATGATGAACGGGATTCAAAGTATCACAACACAATCAGTCATATTGCTCAAATATAGGACAAGGATTGTAATCTGATACAGTGCAAACAATGAGGTAGTTATATGTTAACACATGTTCAACTCATGTACTACTTTGTAAATGCATGCTGCCACAATTTTTATAAATTCAGTTATCCTATCCCTTCTCAATTTCTATATTCACATTTAGTCAAAAATTATTTTGCAATTACATGTTATGTTAAATCCATAACATAACAGTATACAACACAACTCACATGCTACTGCTTAATGCTAAAAAATTATTTGCAATTACATGTAATGAGCAATCCATATGGATGACTGCATACAACATACCTCAAATGCTCCACCAAGACAGCTTCATTTAAAACAACACACATTACTGGACTCATTGCAACCATGGGCAGGTTAGAGGAATGCAACAAATGCTTTCACACCTAAGGCAAACCTAAATCATAGTCAAACTGACATATATATTTTTCCCTGTAACATGCATGCAGGATCGGACCACATCAAATATCTACACATTTTTTGGGTAAATTAATATTAATTACAAACAAGCACAATATAGCATCACTGATCCCATATGACTCGAAGTTGTGCTGGGTCTAACATGACCACAACACATAAGCTACACATGAACACGAGTATACAAAAAAGAAAAGATCCAAAAAAAAATAGTTTTCCCTCACAACCCAATTATCTACAAATCAAGTCCAAAACAGATTATGACTGACCTCAGCAAAAAAGGAAGTGACTTTGGTTACCTGATGCTTCCTTATCTCACTTGAGAGTCGATTGTGGTTGAACAAAAAAACGATTTCCTTCAACACGTTCCACCACCCGTACTGCAGATATGAAAGAACAAATTAGATAGAAGACTAAATAAAAGAAGAAGCTACCCATCCAATGCTCAGCTGCCTCGCACAAATCAGCCCAGAAACCTCATAACATTTTCTTAAACAAATCAGAAAACGGAAAACCACCTTCGACAATATGGAAATTGCACATGCAAATGTCATAGAAGGCAAGAGTCATACCGATTTCGTCACTCACATGCAAGGAATCAGCTTCTTCCTCCTCACTTGCGCTTTCTGGAAATGGAGGGAGAAATGGCAGATATAAGACTCTTTCGCGCCAATTTTGCACACGGCTTTCAGTCCACCACCAACCAGTCAAATCAGATTCACCATCAGTGCACAGATCGTACAAAAGTGAAGGTTATTTTCGTATTTGCATTTGCGGTTCACATTTCACTTCCCCGGGCAAACACGAAAGTCGTTCTTGAGTTGGACAACATGTTTCCATTCTTTCAATACAAATCACACATGAAATGCAAATAACGGGACAACTTGTTGCCAGAGATATTTACCTTTTTTGTGTTGCCAAACATGGCTATTCCAAAATCCAGATAGCGCTTTCCCAGGGATGCAAAAATTATCCGAGTACCAAACGCCCCCTTATAGTTTGAGGATGGGCTTTTTGACCTTAGTAGTGTCATTTTGATAAGGTTTCACCGGAATAATTTCTTGGTCAAACATATTACCTATATAATGCATAACAACGCGGTACTGTGAGAATCACTTTAGGACGTGACACTTTAGCAACCGCGTCTTTTGTATTTGTTCCTGACCACATAAACGTGATACCCTGGCAATCACGACTGGAACGTGATACCCTGGCAATCACGTCCTATTCCCAAGACGCGGTACATTCTCAGCCACAAGTCAGTGGGTCCCATCCTAAAAAGAATTCAACAGGAAGCGGTAGTGTATAAGCCGCGTTCCAGGTTACAAGTCAAATCGGAGCCAAGCAGATATATATGTTTCACCTAAAATTTAGGCATATTGATATCTTCATTGTAAAAGAATACATAACATCCAATAAATCCAATAGTACCTAATCTTATATCCCTGTTTCGTGTTTGGTCTGCTTTTCCGATTTCCAATATGTGAAAGAAACAATTTAATCCAAAATTTTAACGTGATGAGTGAGAGTTTTTTTAATGATTTATATTAAGGTAAACAAAAAAAATAGAATCTATGCAAAATTCATACTTCAAGCCATAAGGGCTTTCGTATGAGTGAGTGTGTAAGTGAATAATATAAACTATTATAAAGACCTTCATCCAACATCTTAAAATTATAATAAATTATAATTTTATTGTTAGTAAATTTCTAAATTAATTATTCTCTAGTTTAAGAGTTAGTCTTCTAACCAGTAAAGAATAAATTGCTAGCAACTATAAAAACCATTTTGTACGAAAATAACTTGTTGCTTTTATTGAATTTTTTGAACTCTTTTAACGTGAATATATCAATATGTCTAAATTTTAGGGGAAATATATATATATATGCTTGACTCCGACTTGACTTGTAACCTGGAACACGGCTTATACACTACCGCTTCTTGTTGAATTCTTTTCGGGATGGGACCCACTGACAAGTGGCTGAGAGTGTACCGCATCTTGGGAATAGGACGTGATTTGCTAGGGTATCACGTTCCAGTCGTGATTGCCAGGGTATCACGTTCCTATGGTCAGGAACAAATGGAAAGGACGCGGTTGCTAAAGTGTCACGTCCTAAAGTGATTCTCACAGTACCGCGTTGTTATGCATTATATAGGTATATATTTGACCAATAAATTATTCCGGTGAAACCTTATGAAAATGACACTACTAAGGTCAAAAAGCCTTGAGGATGACACATGGTATTTTTTTAGTTTAAATATTTTTTTTTTTATCCTAACAAAAAACATGGTCCCTACTTTAGTTTCTTACAAAAATAAATTAGTCAGTTAGTCCCTAACAAATTCAAGGTGGACTCATTTTAGTCCTTTTGAAGGACTAATATGAGTCTTTTTTGAATTTGTGAAGGACCACGATTTCAACTAAATGGGTCCACTTTGAATTTGTTAGAGACTAACTGACTAATTTATTTTTGTAAGGGACTAAAGTGGAGACCGTATTTTTTTGTTAGGGACTAAAAAAGATATTTACTCTTCTTTTTATTTTTCTATTTTCATGTTTTCATATAATTATCAACATTGTCTTTAGAGCCTAGTTGACACATTTTTTTAACTCAAAAATTACTTTTAAATTAAAGTTAAAATATGTTGAAAAAATAAAATTAAAAACTATTGGTGATTATAGAAAGCTATTGGGATGGTTTTGAAAGAGAAAATATAAAGTAATTTATTATTGAGATAAATTATGTTACAATAAAGGACGAAATTTATAAATATAAATTTTGAATAAGAATAAAATTATATAAATTGAGAATTACAAAAGGCTGATATATATATATTAAAAAAATCCTGTAAAAAGCTTTTAATTTTTTATTATAAAAAATTTATAATAAAATTTTGAGTAAACACCCTTTTTGGTCTCTGACAATATCTACGAAATTCTTTTTAGTCCCTGACAATAAAAAAGGATTAAATTGGTCCCTAACAGTATGTAAAAAGGGCTACGTTAGTGATGGAAGAGTTGACATAAGGACTAATGTGACCCTTTTTTTATAATTTTAGGGACCAATTTGGTCCTTTTTTATTGTCAGGGGTTAAAAAGGATTTCGTAGATATTGTCAGGGACCAAAAATGGTGTTTACTCTAAAATTTTTATAAAATTATATTTGATTAAACTTAGATTTTAAGGAAGAAAAAAAAAACTAAAAGCAAAACATACTAAGTGTATGTTTGGATTCTCTTTTTTTTTTAGCTAGAAGCTACTTATAAGCATAAGCTAGACCAAACAGGTTTTGGAAAAAGCTCTTATTATGAAAAGCTCTTTTTTTATAAAGAAGAAAAAAACTGAAAACTAAAAGCTCCTAGGAGGAGCTTTTTTTTAAGCTCTTATCTGTTTTTCTTGAATTGTGTGATTTTCTTTTAAATAAAGAGTTATAAAAATAGAGAGAGAAATAATTTTCTTGAAACATGTTCTTTTAAGTAATTTTTAATCTAAATTTTTTATGTAATTACCAAACAGCTTTTAGCTTCTTTTTTTAAGCTCTTATTTTTAGCTTTAATTTATAAGTAGCTTCTAGCTTAAAAATAAGAGGATCCAAACAGGCTCTAAAGAGAAAAGAGACACTTAATGAATCGGCTGTTTTCTGTGTCTCTATTTGTTTTGGGAATAAAAAGTTGAAAACACAATCTAAATCCTGTTCTATAAATGTGGTTTTAAAAACTAAAAATTATAAATTGATTTTAGAATTATTTTTACGAAACATTGATTAACAAACAAGGTTGACTCTTGTTTTATGTTTATCTGTTTCTTTATCGTACAAAAAAATTAATAAATATATAAATAGAAAATGAAATTTTTTAAAAAACAATTACAGCTAAAACTCATTAGGCATCATTGGCCTATCTATATTCTACAGCCTTTTATATTCACTGCCGCAAGTCACCACTTTCATTTATGGCTGCAGCCTATCTCATAGGCCAATTTCTATTCTACCCTATCAACCGTCACATCGACTCATCTCTCTCTGTAAATGCCACCAATGAGGTTTGTATTGAGCCAAGAACCGATGAGAAAAAAGAAAAAGAAAAACAAGGAGAGGAGGTAAATGAGAAGATTAGTAGAAAGTTGAAAGAAATATCTCCATATCATCTACCTGCTATCTACACAAAGGTGAGTTCTACATCAGTTATTGCACTTCTCCTGCTTCTTAATAGGCCAATACCACTGCAT